TTTTTCCTGATGCCCGTTTAAGATAGAAATACTCAAAGTTGTCTGGCACACAAGCCCCTGGCTCTGAACCTGGGTCACATTACACGATTCCCACTTTCAGTTGGTCCTGGAGCCTCACTCTAGTTTCTTCTGAATTGATGTAATACTACATTAAAGGTGAAATCATGTGTCAGTGAGGAATTTGCTGAACTCTGTGTGGCAGGTTCCACAGTAGAAACATAGCAGGAGTTTGCCCAAACTGCAAGTTTTACTCCTTTAGGGGCGTATAAGGAAATTGAAACCTCACTTTATCTTATTCAGGGCTGGTCTGTCTGAGCATGGGAGCTGGTGTGAAAGAGCATTAGTGGACTTATAACATCAATTTCACATGGCTTGGAATTTACAACCCTAGTTCTTCCTTAGTACAAAGAGCTGTTGTGAGTGAAGAATGCGGGATGTACTAGGACCTATAGTACTGTGGTTAAGAATATGAAGTTCCGTACCAGACAGACCTGGATTTAAATCCCAACTTCAAAATGTACTACCATGGGTGTCTCATAGAAGTCATTTAACCCCTTGTTATTTAATTTCCTTACCTCTAAAATGAAAATAGACTCACTGTAGCTCAGACTTGTAAACATGACACGCTGTGTATAAAACACCAACACACTTAGGACACAACCTGAACATCCAGTAGCTTATCTGTGTTTTCCCCTACTAAGAGATAGAAATGAAAACTTAAGCTTTAATCTATATCTAAATCTAAATATCAGAGAAGATCCTGACATGGATGTCTTAGGAAATTTTAGAATGAATTAGGGAAAGAAATCTATAGAATAACTTTTCTTGGAAATCTCTAACAATGATGTTAGTCTCAGTTTCCATGTCAGCTTAAGTTGTCCTTCCATTGAGACCAGAACTTAGCAACTAACATCTTCCAAATCTGGGAGATGTATTCCACATGTATCCAAAGAAACACTATATTTTCTTAAAAAGCAAGAAGTGTTTCTTTGTTTCTATTTTTAACTGTGGTACATTGAAGCACATACACTCCACTTAAACATGTGTCCAGAAGTATGGTGTTAATGGAATTTAACGGGAAGAACAGGCTGCAGGGGAACTGAATCTGCGTCATTCCTTTCTCATCATTTACCATGGACCACATTTGTCTGCTTCTTCTTATTTGTCTTTTGTTGTGGCCAAAGTAAAGAACTGGGGATATATGGAGACTGTTTTTTCCTTAGAACTAGACAGATGGAAAAGTGTGGCCATCATGGCCTTCCTACGAGGCAACATAATATTACCTGCAACCACCTGAGCCACTTGAATTATAATGAAAATATTTCTTCGAGTCAAGAGTAGCCCTTGCTTAACAATTTTGTGTGCCGGTCTCATTTTAATCAAGAGACTGGTTTCAACAATATGTTGTGTATTTAAATGAAAAATTCAGCCTGATCACATTGTATTAACTTATACTAAATTGATGTTTTAATAGGTGAAAAAAAGATCCCAAATTATAGCGGTCAAAATACCTTATAGAGATCTAGAAAATGTAGAGAATACATTTAAAATAAAATAATTCCACAGAGGTGTGAAAAGTGATGATGATTCTGTGATATTACAGTATAAATGTACAACTTAATTAACAGACTAATCAATGATATGACTACTATCTACACCGAAGTAGGCAAGGGTGGACTGGAGGAATGGGAGTAGTACAGCAAAATACGACGTGAACTTTATGTCTAATCAGAGATATAATAACATAAAGATTATAATAATAGGCACAATTATAGAATTCATAGTACATAGGTGTAGGGATTTCAGATTTTGGCATCTTTTTTGAAAATGTATAATGTTTTATTTCTTCTATAGTATTATTCTAAGGTGACTGCTGCTTTTTTCATACCAGCTTTATTTGAGCCTCTGTTTAGAATTCTATACCAGCACATTCTGTGTCCCTGCTTGTCTGGATCACCTTCTCAAGATAATCATGTTTATCCAAAGTCTTAAACCTTTCTGCACTCAGGACTATTTGGTTGTCTTAATAATACTTGGAAGATATCCTTATGATTATTATAACTAAGGATTTTTGACCACTCCTTTCTGTCCATCAATGTTCCTACATCTTTAGATTATTTCTAAGCACTGATTTACTGGCTTCTTTCATGTCAAGAGATTGCCAATTCCCTCACATTATCCAGCCACTGCTGTTTATTTTGTGTTTTCTTCAACTTCTGATTCCCTGCCTACCAATAGCATCTTCCAGCACTAAAATTTTCCATATTGTCCAGAGCTGGAAAGATTGGTTGATCTAAGCATGACAGAGGAAAGCAAATTGAATTAGAGGGCCAAAAAAATGTACCTATAAAAATTACCCTCAAATCTCATACACCAGAAGTTCTCAAACTTAAACATCCATCAGCATCATAGGGACACTCTTTGAATATCATTGGCACACATTAATTAAAATTATTTCCAAATAACATGTAATCGAAACTGCAGGTGATCTCATGTTGCTGTGTGCCAAGGAGTTCTTAACCCGAAAGTCATCAGAGACCCTCTGATAGGATTTCAAGGACACATGGTACTCACAAACTATATTTTATATTTATATTAGCTTGTGTGAGATTATATCTGGATGCTTGAGAGGGCCCATTGTTCCTAGAAGAGTCTTAAAGGATTCATTTACCCAAACATAGCTTAAGGATACCACCGATATCATGCAGAGGGAGTAAAGCCAAAGCATTTGAAGAGACACTGACATTAGAATGCAGCAGAATAAGGGCTTTATAGTTCAGAGAGCCAACTAAAAATTCTGTTATTTTTATGGTAAGCAGAATAATTTTACTTTTACTACATTGACCTTCATAATCAATTAGCGTATCATTTTGCGACTGTCCACTGACTCCTACCAAGATGTAGACTGACTGACCAGTCAGGCAAAAAGTTTAGATGGAGTACCCATTACAGATCTAGCCTGGCATTGGCTCAGTGGTGGACCCAAAGATGGCAGAGTCCCTGTTTACAGGTAACTGGATGAGAACACGGACATCTCCTATTTTTAAGCCTCATGAGGGTAAGAATCTTGATTTTGTGCCTTAATCTCTGTCCCATGTGTTTAGAAGAGCATCTAGTAAATCATAGGAGCACAACAAATGATTATGAAATGAGTGAACTGAAGGCCTCAGGGGTCTGTACCATAAATGTCATAATGATATTGACAGATGAACAAAATGTCCACAGTGGCTGACTGGACAAAGCTCTTACACCTAGAGAGTACTGCTGAATAAAGGAAATAAGGGACCCAACTAATAATGCATACCAATAAACTGCAAACTGGCCTCAATAGGGAAAACAAACTTAAGTTTAAACACAACACAGTTTGAAATCTTTCTTCACACCAAATGTTTGGCAAAGGGAAGAGCGGAGTTAAGAGGCTACAGGCTGGGAAGATCACTCTCTATCTCATCTTTTTCTTTAGCAACAATGCTGATGTCAAAGGACTTGGGAAATGACAAGCATGCTGTCCAGTGGCACATATTCATCACACTCCCTTCAATAAGTGTTCAGCAGACTACCCTTTATGTAGATCTCAAGCTGATGAATCATCTGTTCAGTTTCACTAAACCTCAAAGGGCAGTTCAACTAAACAAGGGGCTGAGACCCTGTCAGCCTCCAGATGAACCTAAATAAGGACAACATGTTAAGAGGAGGCAGGTGATAAGGTTTCCTGAGGAATCCCTAGTTTGCATTAAATCCTCCTTCAGTTCAAGAAACAGAGCTATTTGACCTCAAAAAACCTAAGAAAATTATTTTTTGTATATAGATGCTTACTATATCAGATAAAAAGAAATATTAGTGATTTCTTATATTGAGGTCATCCATTTGTTGAAACTGGGGTTCTTCCTGTTCCATTTTCCCCCTGGAAGCACACAGGGCTGAGCATACAAATGGTGCAGTGACTCTTTTGGAAGTCACATCTGTCCCTGAAACTTCAGTCACCTGGAGACTGCTTGCTTCATTCCCTGCTGCAGCTCAATCCTGCCAGTGTACGGTGAGTTTAGAAATCTCACCTGAGCAACAAAATTTGAATTGAGTGTTTAAACAGCACAATATATTTAGTGCTGGAATAATCATCCTTTGCAGTTTTTGCTCACCGTGGACTTCTTTCTTTTCTTTTGTTGTTATAATAATCTTGCTTTGGTTTGTATTTTTATGGAAGGAAGATAACAGGACTCAGCAAACTAGCATAACATTTACCTGCACATCCCCATTTTCACGCAGAAAAAATTTCTGCCTCCTTTGCTATGCAAACACACATGCACATAATTCCTGGAATCCCAACCACATTCACACTCACTGCTCTCAGACACACACTCACGGGGCACTGAGACACAAACTCCCTACATGTCGAAATCAAGCCGGGCTGAAGATGCAAATAGGTGGATATGGCACCAGGTGGATGTGTAATCAGTAATAAGAAATACATCGAGCCCCATAATGAAAAGAAATCCCCCAAATTGTTCAGGATTCCCCCACCCCCTTCCATTCACTGATTTATTAACCCTGAACAAAGATGTAATTGCAGGGTCTCAGAAACAACTTTTTTTTTCTTTTTTTCATTTTTGGCATTTTTTTTTTTTTGGCTTTGAATTTCTTAATGTCTAGTCGTACCATTCATTGCCTGTTTTCTTCACTCAGTTGCCCATCTTTTCCCCCCAAAATGAAAGAAGCATCAGCTTCTGAGTCTTTAAGGATGAGACCTCTGCATTTTCTTTGCTTGTTTAGGGCAAGAAATGAAGTGCTGCCTCTTTAATTGGCAGAAGCATGCAGGAGGAGCATACCTTTAATTTAGTGTTGGGATACCTCACTTGCACCCTGGCTGTTGTCTTATTGGAGACGGCAGCCTGCCTGAGATCCTCTAGCACTGAAATAATATCATCCAGCACGCATTTCTTATCCTGATTTCTCAACACACACAGATGGGAAAAAGTATAATTATAGCCCTTGTGGTTCACCTTCATTTCCAGCACGGCTCGGTGGGTCTGCAGGATCCCCTCAGCCTGGAGCAAAATATTGTCCCCGGGTGGGGAGAGGAGGATCACCCTGCCATACCTCCCAGGGGTGTGTAAGTCCGAATAGAGCTGGCTTTTGGACTGGTCCAGGGGGAAAAGGCTGCTGGCCAGGCTGCGCTCGATCTTGGCCAGGCTGTGGCTGGGAGCGACCAGGCGCTCCAGGTCGCCCTCGGGCTGGAAGCGGTTGAGCGCGCTGAGGCCGAAGGTGATGGTCAGGACTGCGGGCACGGTGAGGAAAAAGACCGGGTGCCGGCTCACGCACAAGCCCAGCCTGTGGCAGAACGACTGGAGCCCTCTGCGAAGCACCTGCCGCAGCAGCATCCTCCACCAGATCCAGCTTGCAGGCGCTCCCGGCCGTCTTAAAAAGCACATGTGACACGTGTAAGCGCCAGGCTACCCCCTCTCCTTCATCCCACCCTCACGGGGCCAGCCCCCTCCCCACCGTCGCCGCCTCCCCACCCCCTCCGCGCTCACCCCCGACCACTCCGCCTGGTCTTCCCCGGGCCCCACCTCCATGCGCTCCTACTACTCTTTCAAACACTGCAGCAAGTTGCAGTAAGGCGGGCAAATATCGACAGCGCGCGTGGGGGCAAGCGGCGGGCGCTGCGGGGGCACCGCGGGGCTCACCTCCTCCCCCGCCTCCCCGCGCCCTCGCCGCCTCCCGCGCCCCTCTCACCGCAAGAGCAGCGATCCCGCGGTCTAGCCCTTCATTTCGCTGCTGCAGTCCCCCGGTCTCCCTCGCTGGAGGTGGTTCCGTGCGGAGCGTCCCACAGATGTGGATTTCCTCTCCGTCCTGGTGGGGTTCGGGGCCGAACTGGAACCATGTGCCTCGGTGTTGTGAGAAGCAGACATGTGCCCCATAAGGCGTGGGGGGTGGGTGGGAGTAGGAGGGGGCAGCTAAGCTTTTCTTTTTTTAAGATGCTGACAGTTATTTTTAGAGTTTTGTTTTCCCTCTTTCCTCCGCGCTGGAGTGAATGGAAGAGGAAATGGGTGAAGGTGCTGCCGGCCCATTGGAGCGGAGGCAATTAGAGCCCAAGAAAGGCGGGGTGGACGTGGAGGGAGGGAGCTCCTGGAGGCAGGCAGCCAGTTTTTCCCTTCCAGATTCCCCGTGCCCTCGAATTGTGCTTTCCAGCTGAAGAAAAGGAACAGAGAGGATGATGCTGCATTTTTAACACACCACTGAGCATGCAAGGGATTTCCTTGCAACACCTTCCACTCTGTCATTTCACAGATTATCGGCTGCAGCGAGGGCTTCCAGAGACCCCATCCTAGCCGCGGTGCGTCGGGCTCTAGGGATCCCTCCCTTGCTCTGATGATTGGAAGGTAGGGATTTGCCAATAGCGGTTGCCTGTGGAGAGAGAGAGAGAGAGAGTGTGTGTGTGTGTGTGTGTGTGTGTGTGTGTGTGTGTGTGTGTGTGTGTGTGTTGAAGCTCTACAGGCAATGTGTGGTTTCTCATAAAATGTAACGTTCACATCCTGTACTTAAGAAGTTTGGAACAAAAAGTTCTTAAAAGCTGTTTTGAGCCCTCTTCCCTCATTTTTTCTTCCACTCTGCGCCCCAGAAAACAGTTTCTTGCCATCAGATTTATTCGGAAGTGAAGCGGATGTGAAGGCTAAGTTTGTTCTGTGAGTAGAATTCCACAAAGAAAAAAAAAAACAAAAACATTTTGGGACTCTCATCACATAGATTTTGCCTGGATAAAGAGGGCTAGACGGGCGGGGGTAAGCACACGGAAGTCCCATGATGTGTAAAACAGTGAACCATCTTCACCATTTAGGAAAGAAAACTCTCACCAGGTACAGTTCCTACCTCTGTATTCACAAGTGTGAAGGTGAGAAATTCTCACCTGCAACAGATCTATTTCAAAAACTTGAAAACTAATAAATTTGTGTGTGTGAGCTATTTCTTCCTATTAAAGCTTTCACAAGTTAATGTCTTGGAAAGAATAGGAAGAAATCTTGAGGACAAGTTCTAAAGTTTGATTTTGAACTGCTTTGGAATTCCTTTCCAAAATTTCTGTTCTGTTTGCACTGACTGCATAGAGAAGATTGAGTTTTAAGACATAATTTGTTCACCTCTCCTCCATGACAACGGAAAGGCTTGTTCTTCATTATAGACTTAGAGATGTACCCATCCATGCATACAAACAAATCAAAGGAGCCATCCTCTTAATAAATAGATGCTTTCTTATTTTTGCTAGTGAAATCTATTCTTGTTATCTGGAAAACAATGAGACAGCAGAGAGCAGAGAAACAAGGGCAATGCTTGTGGGCAATAGTCTAAAGAGTGGTGTTGTACCTAAAATTAAAGAAAAATTCTAGCCTTTTAAAATTGGAAGTGACCTTGCTGACCATCAGTTTGATTTCTTACAAAGGCAGGAATCGCTTCTAAATACCCTTGATGACTATGCTTCCAGCCCATGCCACAAAATCCTCCACATGAAAGAACCCACTCATTTTTCTAGGAAGCCCATTCTATTTTTAGACAGCCCCTTCCTGTGTTTAGCTGAACTCAGTCTTCATGCAACATTCGTAGGCTATCCCTCCCTCTCCTTCAGTGGGAAGAGTCCCCTTTGCAAAACTGTCAGATGTTCATGTTATTTCATTTAATGTATTCCATCAGTGCAACATGATGGGACATTGTTGTTGGCTATACAGCAAAGAGGAAATGTATCTATCATCCATTTTCTATGTCCTCTTTATTACATTAAATGTTCTTGGTCATATCCTATACATTAATTTTTCTAAAAAATGTTCTTTTTGAAAAATATATACTAACAGATTTTAGGAATGTACAGTTGAATAATTATGTAGTTCATTTTATAGATAAGGACACTAAAAACTGTAGAGGGTGAGATTAAAACCATCCTCAGAGTTATTTGCAAAGCAGAGACCAGTGTCCAGGTCCCTTGTTTCTAGTCCCATCACATTTTCCCTGGCAGCGTTGGACCAGGCCCATCCTGCTGTTTTACACAATGAACAAATCAGTCAGAATTGTTTCCTGCCTCACTGCCTCCACTTCCCACACCTCCTTTCCCAATAAATTCAATGGAATTAGAGAAGAATAAAGACACCAATAGATAATTAACTCAGTAATCTGATACATCTCTAAAGTGAACTACTCTGATGTAAGTACAAATCATGTTGATATCAATAATGACATCAAAATATATCCACTAAATGTTAAGTGAAAAGGTATGTACAGTATAAGAACATTTTGAAAAATAAAAATAGATGCTGGAAAAAATAAAATCTGTATTAAAATGTTTCTTTTGATTGCTCTATTATGGGATCATGAGTGCTTTTTTTAGGAGAAAAAAACCTTCTTAAATTCAGAAGTTTTAGAATGCAGCAAGTTACAAAGATAGCACGCAGAGCACCTTTATATCCCACATCCAATCCCTGTTATTAATATGATCTTACTTTAGGATGGTACATTTGTTGCAATTAATGAACCAATACATTATTATTAACTGAAGTCTATACATTATCCAAATTTCCTCAGTTTTTACTAATATTCTTTTGTTGTTTTTCCAGGATTCCATTCAGGACACTGCATTGCATTGAGTCATCAAGTTCCCTTAGGCTCCTCTTGGCTGCCACAGTTCCTCAGACTTCCTTGTTTTGAGTGACCTTGACAGTTTTAAGGAGTAGTGGTCAGGTATTTTGAAGAATGTCCCTCAATTGGGAATTATCTGATGTTTTTCTTATTATTAGACTGGTGTTGGGAGTTCTGGGAGGAATAACAAGGTAATGTGCCATTTTTATTATATCATACCAAGGGTACATTCTATTAACGTGTTTATCACTGTTGATATGAACTTTGATCACATGTCTGAGTAGTGTTTGCTAGGTTTCTCCACTGTAAAGTCACCCTTCTTCTACCCTGCTTTCCATAGGGTTTTCTTTGGAAGGAAGTCACTATGTGCAGCCTACACTTACGGAGTAGGAGCTATGCTCCACCTCCTTCTTCTTTGAGGATGGAGTCTACGTAAGTTATTTGGAATTCTTCTAAATGGGAGATTTGTTCTGTTCTGTTCTATTCTGTTCTGTTTTATTCTATTCTATTTTATCCTTTCAATCTTTCATTTAAATCAGTACTGACTCAAAGGTATTTCTAAATATTTCTGTTTTGATATTTTGGTTTATACTTCAGTACTTCTTTGTTGCTCACATTTTTCCACTTTTGGCTATCGTGAGCTATTTCCATTGGCTCCTGTATCCTTTTAACATATCCCATTATTGGTGGGAACTTAAAAAAAATTATTCCTTATTTTGTTGCACTGTAAGATATTCCAGGCTCTTCTTGTATCTTTCTTGCCCCAGCCCCAATCAACCATTTCTCTGAGGAGCCCTGGTTTGTTTTTACTAGGAAATGATATTAGAAACAAAGATCTGGGTTCTTTATGCACTGCTTGCTATTGTGGTGTTATTGTGTGTAAGTCCTCTCAGGTGAAAGCAAAGATATACATAGGTTATACTAATCTGTATATGTGTGTATCTATAAACAGTTCTTTATATAACTCTGTATTTATATTAAGCTAAATATGAGTTAATACTTATGTCCCCAACTCTAATCTACTGCAACATGGAGCATTTTAGTCACCTCCCCTGACTTACCTTTAACCTCCCACTCCAAAGGTAAAAAAGTGGCCCAGTGGGTGATGTTTAAATTGCTCTTCTATAATGAAAACACTTTCATTCTTATTAGAAAAATTGTTTAAAGGAAAAGATAAAAATGGATTTTTAATTTTGATACTGTACATGGATGATGCCGAACAGTATTATGCACTCATTAGAAAGATAAATTATATACTTAAAAGAAGAAAAATGTTAACAATTTTTTAAGTCAAACTGCAAGGAGTTAATTTGCACTAAAACATCGGTGGATATAAATCACATGATTGATTTTTAACAAAGCTTAACAGAAAGCTGAAAGCAGTGCATTTAGGGACAAATCAGTAACAACACAAAAAAACTGTAGTGTGTAGTTCAAACAGGATTTGTCTTTTCTTATATGTGTTGGTCAATGTCATTTTTCAGCACTGGAACCAACTGGGAATTTATCTGCTTGTTCTTTGTAGGATAGGACACCAGAAGAACAGGAGCTGGGACAGGACACGGGGCAGCCGAGCTCTCGCACACATCCAAAAGTTGCTTCCTGGGTGTTTTGGGCAAGATTCCCAACTCTCCGATCCAAGTTTCCTTATTTATAAACTTGGATTTTATTAGCCCACTTGCTAATTCATTCATATCATTATTCACTAGAACTTTGTAACTCTACTGTATTATCTAATGCTGTAATACTAGCAATTGCAACAAATAAACCTCTAAATCTTGGCAGTATAGAACAATAATAGGTTAATAAATGTTAAACAGTCCATTATGGATATTCCTGCTCAGCGGAAAAAGGTAGAGCACAGAGGCTTCAGTTCCTCAAGTCATTTATTCACATTTAACTCATGACTTCCAAGGTCATTCCCGAGGTCATTTCCTAGATAGCCAGCAGAAAGGGGAAAGATCGTGAGGGAGCACACCTGGGAGGTTTTTGCGGTTCAGCCTGGAAAGTGGCATGCATCACTTCCCCTTACATCCTCTGATTAGACCTTAGTCATACAGAGGCTGAATAATGCAGCTTAGCCATGTGCCTAGAGAGAAGAGGGGGTTAACTGAATGATCAGGTAGCAAAATCCCTCACCCTCTTCCTGGATTCTATTGCCTTATTTACCCAAAGTCCCTATTATATGTTCAAGGTGAACATCAGATGCCCTTTTGTCATTTCACATAGCCTCATTGTTCAGCCACTGCCATTAATGCTGGCTTTGAGGCTTTAAGAAAACGCTCTCTGAGCTCATTTTGTAATAACTTTAAGGATTTTGATGGATCACCCACACCTCTTGGTCAGGCTTATTGTATCCAGCAAGAACACATCTGAGAAAGTTTTAGATGCAATTTTGGTCTTTAACACTTTGTATGTTTCCAGCTGCAACTGATTTAAGTAATAATGGTATTTCTTATCTCACATAACTAGATATGCAGAAGAACAATTATAGAGCTGGTTAATTTAGAGTTTCAAGAGTGTCATTAAGAATCCAGGTCCTGCTCCAGCCAGTGTGGCTCAAATTGTTAGAGCATCGTCCTATAACTCAAGGGTTGTGCATTCCATTCCCGGTCAAGGCACATACCTAGGTTGCAGGTTTCATTCCAGGTCCAGGTACGTTTGGGAGGCAACCAATAGATGCTTTTCTCTCATGTTGGTGTTTCTCTCTCCCTCCCTCCCTCTCTCTCTCTAAAAAGCAATGAAAAAATATCCTCAGGTAAGGATAAGAAAAATAAAAGAATCCAGGTCTTCGTATTCATTCTGCTTTGCCCATCCCGGGACCAGAAGCATTCTGCTTATGTGGACAACACATCCAGGCAAAACAAGACCTTGGGGAAAAAGAAGCTGCTTTTTTCTAAATATCTCTTCTGAGAGTGGAGAAACCTTTTCCAGAAGACTCCCAACAAACTTGCTCTTAAGTGTCTCCCATGCCCACGTCCAAGTCAATCACTGGTGAGAGGAATGATGACACAGTGATTGGCTTAGACAAATGTGGGCTCACACGGGCTGAGAATGAGACCAGCCCCCTCTCTGTGCATTGTCATGTGGGAGTTTTTGTGGGTTTTATTTTGGTAGAGTGTTTTGTTTTAAACAAAATTTCTTTAGGAAGAGACATAGTGTGACGGTGGGACTGTTTGGATATTGGGCATCTGACACTAACCTTGGTGCTGAGTTTTTCTTATGGAGCAAATTAGTTTCTGCAGACCATGCTTTCTGAATGGAAAATAGAGGACAAAGGAATTGATTTTCTAATTTATAATTCATTTATGTTAAAAGCTTTATAATGGTTTACAAAGGAAATCCAGTGATACTCGGTGTTTTAATAATTACCTTCATTTCAAAAGGATACAAATATATAAGTATTACTCTTTTGGAAAACCCACTATGTTATCTCCATATCTATACAGGGTGATATGACTGACCTGAGGAGTTTATGTAATAACTTGACTTAATAAAAATTCTGAAAAGTTTAGATAGCATTTGCATGAATTGATAACCTAAAATTCATCATATGTAAGGATATGCATTAAATTTTGCTCGTAGGTTCAGTCTCATTAACATGTTTTTGTACCCCTTATGCTTAAAACTTAAAATATGTACTATTCCCATCCTAACAGTAAAATCCACAGTATATATTCAAAAAAGCATGAAATGGTACAGACATTTATAACTTTATACCATTTATAAATACATCATCAGTACTGATTTTTTTGCCAAAACTAGTATTTTCCTATGGTGGAATGGGGTTACAGCTCTAGAGAAGAGCTGTAAACCAGAAAGTCACAGGTTCAATTCCCAATCAGTTTGCATGCCTGGGTTGCAGGTTTGGTTCCCAGTTGGGGTATGAATGAGAGGCAACTGATCAACGTTTCTCTTTCACATCTCTCTCTCTCTCTCCCCCCGCCCTCTCTCTCCCCCGCCTCGCCCTGCCTCCCTCTTTCCTTTCCCTAAAATCAATAAAGCATATCCTCTGGTGAGGATACTTTTTAAAAGTTCTTCAGAAGATTTCAGGCAATTGAGTTTCTGAGTAATTATTCTGTTAATTTCTCTTCCTGCTTAAAGACTGTATCACCTTGCTTTGGATTTATATTTGTAAACTGATACATAGTAATGGAACTGAAGTAGGTGATCATCAAGTTACCCTCCAGGTCTCCAGGTGTGATGTCATGATCTTCTGGAACTTGAGTTCATGGGGTTCATTTGCTTGGTTTGCTGCATCTTACCAAGAACAACCTGTAATTCCCTACCCAAGTCTCTGCCTCCCTTTTCTGGTTACTATTCATGCAGTATCAAACTCAGAGTCACTGAGTTTTGGAAGTGGCCCGCCATACCAGGAGATCCAAATTTTGGTATTGGTCTGGAAAAAGAGAGAAGCTGGAAAAATACTTGGAATATTGAGGCCACAAGGGAATAGCTGGACGGAAGATAAAATACTGTGTGCCAAAATACAGGACTGTGCAGACAGAGTCTTATTGAATCACTGCACAAAGATGGCATGCTGCTCTGTATACACTGGATTTTCAATCATCTAAATAAACATTTTCTAATTTGGGAAGAAATAGACCACGATCTTTTAAAAATCACCTTTTAATTTAATTTTGTTTCTTCATCTTAAATTCAAGTGTAATACAGGTCAGTCTGCCCTATAGAAGACGGAAGGATTTCCTACATTTTCTTTCCTTCCCTCTTTCCTTCCCTTCTTCCCTTCCTTCCAATAGCAGTTTGTTTTTCTGAAGTGTTCCTTTCAAGGTCTTCTTCAAATTTATCTCCGTGTGTGTGTGTGTGTGTGTGTGTGTGTGTGTGTGTGTGTGTAAAGTCATATATATATAATCTTCTTCTGGATGAACTCAGGGGTATATTGCTTTCATATTATTTACCACAAAGTCCACACATTTTCCAAAAGCTTGTGCTCATGTTCAAATTGGGTTGTCGGTTACCAACCTGGGTTTTCGGTGGTGTTACTGTATTAAGAGTGAAGCCTGCACCTGAAGGATGAGTGTTCATTAATTTCAAGAATGACCACCAAAAGGTATCCTACTCTCTGACAAGGCTGCTCTGCCAGTCAGATCCTAGAAAAAAATCAATAACGTTATGGAGCTGCTTGTGGAATGGTTGTGAGCACTGGATTCTTCATGGAAGGAGCACTCTAATGGAGAAGCCAGGAGGGTGCGGCCCCTTATTAGAGCTCCACATTTATTGTTGTGTCATAAATACCACATTGATATTATAAACAGCAACAGAAGATACCAACACTACCTATCTCTGTTAACAGCAAACCTTGCTCAGTAGGGCCAGGGAGAAAGAGAGACATAAGTACTAAGAAGGGGATATTCTTGGGAGAAACCTGCACAGAGGGCATGATCTAACCTTCGAGGAGGAGGATTTTACCAC